TTTTTTGTTTAATATTAAATTTATTTACCAATAATAGGTACAGTATCAGATGTAGCTGGAACTTTTTCAGCAACCATAAGCATAAACACAGAAAATGCAACAAAACATGTTAAACCAAGTGTCACTTTTTCACCCGAAGATGTTGGTAACCTAGAAATAATTAGAATTTTTCTTAAACGAAAAGAACTTATTTTTCTTACCAAAATGACATACAAGTTAAACATGAAAGCATAGCACATGGAATTATCACATTGAATACATAATATAATGGACGACGACTAATATGAACACCATAAACTAATTCTCCATATGTTTTATTATTCTTTGATCTAATAGAAAAACAAAATCCTTAGTATAATTAAGAAATACTTATGGATTCTCAAATGTCTTCTAGGAAAAAGATACAATATTCCCCTTTTTTTTTGTAACTGCATTATAAATATGATTATACACAATCGATTAAGAAGATTTTCATTCAATTGAAAACTAATATTAATTCAATTTTTACGCCAAAAAAATAAATATGAAATATTAACCTCCATACAAGACCTTGTTTAACATCAAGTATAGCCCAACCACTATTTCGTATACTTTCAGATTGTTGTTGTTCACTTGTACTTGAAACAAGTTCATAATTGATCGATGATATATCATATATCCATGATGCAAATTTAAGGCCACATACTTGTCGATCAAATGGAAAATATTGAATATTTACTTTACATGTTGTACGTAATTTCATCAATACAGGAAAGACTACTTCACCTGTATGATAAACCATAACATAAGGACCTATAATATTGAACATGAGTTATTTAAAATAGATTCAAAAACTAATATACCATTGACAACACCTTGTGTTGGCGAATCACTTGAAAGATCAAATGCTGAATTATAAATATAACTATCTGGTAACCAAATACGATGTGATGGTAATCGTATACCGCGAATTCCTACATATTCTGATTGGTTCCAGCCAAGGTTTTCGTCTATCCATTTTTGTTCAATACGTACATTTGTTGTTAAAATTTGTGTTTTTTCTTCCTAAAATAACAAATCTGTATATTTATAAAGACAAAGTCATCTATTACAAGCTCAAATAATTGAGTAATTTCCATTCGAAATGAAATGGTTACTACTGCTTGAGCATTAATAACTGGTCTTACACTTGGTTCATAATATTGTAATAATCTTTTTATCAGTATTTGTTCAGTCGTACATTCTATGTTATAAAATAGATTACACGTATAAAATAATACGAAAAAAATCAAGTTAAAAATAAAAAATATTTACCGACAGAGGAAACAATAAACATGAGCAATAATAATAATACGAAAATTTCACTCATATAATTATACTCTATTAATGATAAATAATAAGAATAGAAATGACGAATACCATGGAATAGTATATTTCTGATTGAGAGAAATCTGTTGTTATTCTTTTTTTTCTCTAGCTTCGCGACTGATGGTGTCTAATCTAAAGCCAAGATAGACTTTTTTCTTCTTCTTTTCTCTTTGTTCTTTTCTGGATACCATGCAAAAAAAGAAATTGTCATCTGGTATTTTTACATACTAAGAGCGTGATCATCATCATCATCATCATCCGTCATTTGATGTTAGAATCCTATCCATCTACTCGATTATATTTCTTTTGCTGAATTCCTCAATCGATACTCCATAAAAGCTGAAAATGACGATGATACAAACATCTGTCTTTACCTCGCGGGTAACTTGCAATGAGACGGAAATAAGTAGTCTACAAATTTATCATTCGACACCAACACCAATCTTATTTATTGTCGCTCTTCCCTAAACGCGTAGAAAACAGAAAAGGCAAATTGCTTGTCATATTCTCACTCATTTGCTCTTCTCAGTACGCTACAGAGTGACGTGTAACACACATGACACTTTCATTGACTAGATACATGCATATATATATATACATCGATATATAGATATATTAGAGACTATTCATTGATAATAAACATAAAGGGCAAACAAATGTTGGAAGAGGAATAAAGAAAAAAACGGGAATAATATGTTGGTTGATTTCTTAAGATAGAAAATGCGAAAAAGAAGAATAGGAAATCTACATTATAATCGGTTTTTTGTCATGCAGCATGCTTTTTATTGATGGCATTGGTAATAAAAACACAACAGATGCATATTTATAGTTGAATCATCTATTGATATTTAAAAATATGAAATGAATATGGAATACTTTCTTAATTGATTTTAACTTTTCTTCATCTAAGCATTCGATAATCTCAAAATATACATTTTTTTACATAGAAAATTTTCTGCATTGATTTGAATGTTACTTACTCGAGCTATAACCCAATAATTACCTTTTAGAAACTTATAATAATGAATTCATAATTCATCTACATATCTATTTCTAATCTAATTCAGATATAGTCATATTATAACATTTTCTGAAAGGTCATGTCTTTCGGTTATATTAATATATTATCATTTTGTTAGATTCATCAGCCTGATTATTAAATTCAGAACACAAAAGAAGATTTATTGTTTCTTTATCGTAATATTTAAGCGTTATCATCTTCAAAAGATTTTATAAATACCGAATATATTTAAAACACCAAAGTTTTCTTCTGATATAATTATACTAATAGTTTTTGCCTACAGGTATTTCCATGAGATCATTTTTATGATGGAAATATCTTTTTACAAAGTTGTTTGTCTATTTTCAAGGCAAGACAAATTTGTAAACGTTTTATCATGAATAGGGTTAGGAAAATAAAAGAATTGAATAGCAACATTTATGTCATATAAATAATCTGGTATGTTTTACAGCTATTTTTATCTCGAAATGAATATCGGCCAGTATTTTTCGGTTGAGCAGATATTGATCAATATTTATTATATTTCGATCATGCGATTTGTTTTTTATTTTCATCTGACGACAACAATTCATCTATAAGCATGATCAATCAAAGGCGTGGTTATTTTTTTCTTTTTCGTTATAGAATAAAAGTTCTTAATGTTAAACAAATACTTCAGCTTCTTTTTTTCTCTCTCTCGCTTATGGTATTTAGTTTTCGTCATTTAAAAAAATTTAAAGCAATCGAAAATTTGAAAGTGTACATTTACATTAAAGAAATAATAAAATCGACAGATGACGAAACTTTTGATCATCGCTACATTTTTCGGTAAGATTTTTAGAAAACTTTTATTAATATGAACGAATTTTTCTTTAGTTTTATTGAGCTATGCAACCTGCTATGATTGCTATGATTGCCAAAATTGTGAAATTCCATTTAATAGTCAAACTAGTTCGAAAACATGTAATACAAATGTGACTACATGCATGGTAAATTTCTTTTTAAAAAAAAATCAAATTGATTATTTCTTTTTTCTATAGAAAATAACGGCAAAATTAGGTACTGTCTACACATATATTGCTAAACAATGTGGACCATGTTTGAGTGAAACATTTTTATTTGGAGTTACTTATCTTCATGTTGATTGTTGTTCAGGAAATGAATGTAATGGAACAAATATATTATCAATGTCTCGATTATCATTAATTATTTTTCTTTTTGTCTTATACATTTTAAATGTAAAATTGTATCAATAAAATATTAAATAAATGAGTAACTAAGAAACAATAGATTTTTTTTTCGTTGTTGTTTATATGATAAAATTCAGTGCTATTTGGATTGTTTTCATCATATTTTGTTTTTTAATTATATTCGGTGGATTTTTCTATCTATTATATAGATTCTATATTAATCATATTTATAAACGAAATAAATCTTGGAATGAAATCTTATCACCATTGAAAAATACACCAGGAGAAAGCTGTATTTTTCTAATGCCAAGACAATCGATGTTACCACTTATTCAAGAATTTCTTCCGAAACATTTAAAACAACAACGAGTAAAAAGAAAAATGATTACGCAACTTCAATTTAATGAACCACCATTGTTTGTAAATAATCTTCAACAACAATGGGATGAAATGAATTCAAATAGTATCTGTGATTCATATTCATCATATTATTCAATTGAAGGATGTATGTCTTGTAAAGAATCAATATCAGATGAACAATCTCTTATGAAATATTTTTCAATAACTTCTTCGTCAGATGAATTAAATATATCACATTCATCTTCGGAAAAACAATTTCTCTTCAAATCATTTAACAATGAAAAATCTATATTAGATAAAAATAATTCTTCGAATTATATTGTACTTGAAATGGAACCATGTAAAAAAATAAATATATTAAATAATGTCTTACAACTATAAGTTCAATCCTCATTCACTATCATAATCATTTTTATCGGAATATAATGATTTAAAAAAATTTCATATAGGTATATTGCGTATTTATTCATTATTATAGAGGGAGTTATAGTCAATCAAATAGTATATATACTTTCTGACCTTGGTTGATGAAACGGATGATTATAAAAACTAGACAAACGTTAACTAATTATTTCCATTCGAAATATGTGTATATGAATTCCACGAAAAAAACGTCTTCGATATAATATATCAATGGAATATGTATATACTGTATACACAAATTATAAAGGGCAAACAAGAATCCACGATGTAGTACGACATCATACATAGAGCAAAAGAAAAAAATAATAAAACGCAATATATATATTTCTTTTCTTCTCTATCTTAAATACACATATATTTTACTCCAAGCAAACGATACTATCGAAAATAAATAATATATATTATAAAACAAGTTAAAAATGAGTCGAACTGTATTAAACAAACTTTTATCTCAATCATTTGCAACTTATCAAGTTCTTTTCAATGAATTATCATTTCATAATCATACTGCACATCATTTAGGTTCACTTTATTTATTAGGTGCTTCCGATGAAAAACTTGAAAAAGCTTATAAAACAATGTGTGCAGATCTTGATCCACATGTTCCATCACCTGAAAAAATAACTCTTTCTAATTGGCGAAATTTTCTTGGTAATAAACATTTTTGCAAAGGTTATTCAGATTTTTTTCAAGAACAATTAACAAACAATGCTGATAATTGGCAAAAAAAATTTAAAGAATTTTTATTAGATAATGAAAAACAACCATTAATTAATGGTGTTATTGGTGGTCTAGCACATCCACTTATTCATATTGGTTATGCATTTGAATTAAATAATGAATTTGTAGGTATAGAAGCATTAACATTATCTGCTGTTGCTTATAATTATCTTCATGAAGTTGTTGATAAATTAAAAGCACCAACTTCTCCTTCAAAATCATCAATGGAAATTTTTAAAAATATTCATTCCGATCATCAAATACCAATTTATGATACACCTGGTGTTGATAATCTTGAAGAAGCTGTTAAAAATTGTAACGAACGTATTCTATATCATTATAATCAATGGAAAATTAATGATAATATTGAAAAAACAATCGAAGAATTATTTGATTTAACTGTTTATATATATGGTGCAACACATAAATCAAATCAAATAGAATTTGATTTTTTCCTACTTCATCTATTAACTTCTATGCATGCAATTCGTATGATACATTCACATATTGATAATCAACAGGTCTTTCAACATATTTTATTTCAATTTTTTTATTTCGCTATTGTTGTTTATATATCACAATTACGACCAGAAATTAATGAACATCTTATTAATGATTATAAAATAGATAATGCAGTAAAAACTTGGAATTATGTTATTGATAAAACATTAAATACCGAATTAATTGATGATGCTCATCTTGTTAAAGTTGTACGAGTATTACGAGATGCAGAAAAAATTTATGGAGATAAAAATGGATTTTATTTGAAAACTGCAGTTAAAACTGTTGATAATTTACATCTGGAAAATCTGTGGATTGGAGGATCCGATAATCCACGACAATTAAATGTACTTAAACAATCATAAGTTTTTTTTATTATTTAATCAAGCTAAGCTTTTACTTTTATGTATTTGATTTTAAATAAAACTATTTCTGTAAGGAATTATGTAACAATCAATCATTTATTTTAAATTGTACCTATTAAAATGACTTCGAAATATATATCTGGATATTTTTAGTTATAACTCATAATTAGATGTTAAGTGATAAACTGAAGCCTACAGTAATGTTTCTATTTAATATTTAAAACAGATGATTATGACACTTTTTCTTTCTATGTTTATAGAATAAAATTGAAAGAACAGAAAAAAAAGTCGATAGTGGAATTGAGTTGTTCTGTATTTACTTTTGGGAGCGTTCTTTGTTTTTGTTTTTTTTAACCATTACCATGCCTATTGTTGTTCAGCTAAGGTGAATATACATTAACGGAATAAAACGAAAGGATGCAGTTACTTTTTCATTACCATTTATTTTTACTTCTTTTTTCTTTCTTTTTCGTTTTATGTTGATTTAAAACATTCTTTTGTTTCATTCACAACCATTTCTGTTTTTCTAACTACATGACAGCATCATACAGTTTTATTTCGTTTTTTGTGTTTATATTTAAGCATTAATGGCTGCTGCAGCTTATTCCACACTACCTAATAATGGATATGCTGGCTATAATCCAGAAGGAGATCCATATAATACAAATAATGCTGGTATAATATTATTATTCAATTTTTTTTAATTAAATGTTTTATTATAGGTGCATATGATACAGGTTTTGGAGCAATAGCTACAGATCCATATCAATATCCAACAAATGAATATGACAATGATATTCCTGATGATCAACAACAACCTGATTATTCAAATGAATATCAACAGCCTCCATATGCAAATGACAATTATCCTCCACAACAACCTCAGAATGTTCTTCCAAATACTTATCCTCCACAACCCCAGAACGTACCTTCAAATACTTATCCTCCACCACCTCAGAACGTTCATCCACAGGCGTATGCTCAACCACCTCAAAATGTTCCTCCACAAGCATATGGACAACGACCACCAAATAATCAACAACAACAACAACCTTTTTATCAAGATGAACATCAACAAGTTCCACATACAAATGGTAACTATCCTCCACAACAACCTCAGAAAGCACCTTTAAATGGTTATCCACAACAACCTCAGAAAGCTCCTTTAAACGGTTATCCACAACAACCACCAAACCATCAACAACAACCTTTTTATGGAAATGATCATCAACAATCTCCATATGACAATGATGATTATCCTCCACAACAACCACCACCACCTCAAAACTATCCTCCAAATCCATTTGCACAACGACCACCAAACAATCAACAACAACAACCACAATTTAATGGTCATCCGAATCCACAATTACCTAAAGCTAATAATAGATCGATGCCAATGAATAATAATACTACTGAAAGTTATAGTGATATAAGTGGAATACAACCACCATATAATCCGAACGTAGATAATCAATATGCAGACCCTAGAAATTATCAACAGGTACATTTTTATTATAATAAGAAAACAGTTTTACAAAAGAAGTTTTAATTAATAAGAATAGAATAAGTAATGTGAATTTTATTTTGGTCAAACTAACTTGTCAATCAGATGATAGTATAACTTTCGTTTTAGTAAATAAATTCGAATATGATTTATTTAAATAGAATTTTGCTGCAACAAAACAACAGCAACCATTACCTCCAGTTGATAACCAGAATTATCAGTCTCAACCATATCATAATCAACCTAAACAACAAGTGTCAAATCGTCCTCCGAAACAAGAACAACAGCAATATTATCAACCTCCATCACCACCTGAATCTGATCATCAACAAAATTCGAAGCCTTATGCATCTCATGGTTCAGTTCGTCGTCCATCTCTATCTAATCAAAATAATAATTATCCATTTGAGCCACTACCTAAAGTTAATCATAATCGACAAGATTCAAAAACATCTAAATCAAGTTCTATACCACCTATAACGAATAAAAAGAAAGATGACACTCGTGAAGAAAAACAAAATAAACCTACAGTTACAAAACCAAAATCACAAACTATAGGTCTTCAAACAGAAGAACCTCGTATTTTAGATAAAAATAAACGAAATCAAAAACAACCATTTACAAAAAACAAAAGAGACAATGATTCTCAAAGTGATGATGATGACCAACATGATCATATGAGAACAAATCGTAATAAAAAACAACCTCATACAAAATCAAAACCACTTAAAAATTATAATTATCCAACAACGGATGACTATAGTTCAGATGATGATCGTCCATGTCCTCATTGCCGACATCAGAAAAAAGTGACAGGTTCTGATAGACATTTAGATAAAAATCCACGTCTTCCTCCACTTCGTCGTCTTGGAAAACCAACTCATCAAGAATCTCATACTAGCAATCCAATGAATTCCAAACGTACATCAACAAGACGATTCTCTCAACATGATAAATCTCCATCCTTTGGTATTGTTTCTAGTCGACAAGGAAATCTTTATATAAATCGAAATACTGGTCATACACCACGATATCGTGAAGCATACGATCCACAGTCTGATCAAGAGAAAGCAAATGGTAAATCGAAACGACATCAGAATTCAAATATATATGAAGATGAAGAAGAAGATAATCCTAAAACTAATCGATCACGATTTGGTAAGTTTAAAAATTCAGTTAAAAATCATGGCAGTCGGAAATGTCCTCATGCTTGTGAAAAATGTGGACATTTACCACCTTCAGTAGGACGTCGTTCTGCATCAAACGATGGACATGGAACGAATCGTCATAATAACAAAGATCAATCGAAATCAAAATCAAAATATAAATCAAGTACTGTCGATATTCCCTTTTCTCAACCACCAATAAGAGCAGGTTAAATTATGCTCATGCCATTCGTTTTCAAATAATTTATTTTATTTTTATTTTGTAGATACTTATGTCGAAAGCGAACGTATACGTGCAGTACGTGATGCTCAAGGTTATTATATGCCATATAAACCATACACTCTCAAAGATTATAATGAATTAAAAAAAACTTTTAACCACAATAATCTATATTCTACTCGGCAAGAATCACCCGTTGATCGAGTATATATCAATTTTACATCAATTAATTTTTATCCTTTTTCTTTTTTTAGGTAGAACTTTTTAAGAAAGGTCAAGAATACGGAACATTCATTGAGAAAAGTGTGATTGATTCTTCTGATATGCAACCATCACCACCAAAAGAAATGCCACCAGTCAAACCATGGCATGGAGGTATTAGTGGATTACCCAGTTCTGAAGAAGCAGCAAAACGAGAACGAGTATATTTAAACTATACGCATACGATAAGATAATTGTATGTTTTTTATTTTTAAGGCTCTTGAATATGCTAAAATTCAAGTTAGAAAATATCAAGAAACAACTTATCCAAGAAATCGTTCACATAAATCAGCTCCTGAACAATATGGCTATAAACCTTTATCGAAACTGAATGGTCATGATCCACAATTACGTATTTGTAGTATTTGCAACGGTGTATGTGTTAAACAAAACTCAGTTGGACACCATCACCATCATCATCATCATTGATGTTTATAATTTATACTTTCAATCTTTTTTTGTTCTGATGAATGATGCACAATTAGTTCTGAATTTCTGTTTTTTCTAATCTAACTTTTTCTTTTTCGTATTTCTATAATGAAAGAATGAAGAAAACTAATCAACTCCACAATAATTATAACTAGTGAATGTGATCAGCTTTTTTTTCTCTCTTTTATTATATTTTTCTTTTTTGGCAAAACAGCACGAGATTGAACAGAATAAAGAACGAAGGTCTCGGTCATAGAATCTATGAATTATTGTTGATTAAACCGTCTTTACAATTCATTTTTACCCCGGACATCATATCATAATCAATTTCTCAGTTGAATCATTTCCGATCTTTTTTTTCCGTATCGATACATTAATAATCATAGAACGGAAAAAGCTCCACTTGAATTAGATGAAGTAGTATGCAGAATAAAAAAAATAACTTCGGTCTCTTTTTTTTACTCTGAATAATAGTGATCGCAAGTGACAACTGTACATCATGGCATGGAATTCAACAATTTTAAGCATTTTTTTAATATTTATTTGTATTGAAATGGTATTGATGGCGAAAAAATCGAGAAATACACGTGGATGTTTAGCAGAATTAAAATGTGGAGGTAAGATGAATAGATTCATTCAAGTCAATACAATCAACTTCATTTCTGTTTTGTTTCGATGAATAGACAAATCGGAAAACCTATCAATTGCTGTTCAAGGTTTACCTGGTTTAGTGGGAGCACCAGGATTAACAGGTGAACTGGAAATTATTTGTATTAATATTATTTGTATGTTTTCATATTGACAGGTTTACCTGGACCAATGGGTCCAAGAGGTTTAACAGGTCCACCAGGTAAAAGAAAATTTTATATTATTTTCTTTATCATAATTTTTTACAGGTCGTGATGGTTTTGCTGAACGACCTCCTTCATTTTATGCAGAATTACGACGTTTATTTTCTACAAATAATACTGATAGTGTACTTCGACCATGGTCATTAAGTGAAACAGTAAATGCACCTGATGTATCTAATTATTTTTCACAAGAAGATGGAATATTTACTGTTCCTATAGATGGTCTTTATCATTTTTTTCTAACAATATCTGTTTCCAAAGCTAAGGTAAGGAACAAAAAACAAAGGATAAAATTATTCATCTATTTTTTTGTTATCAATTTCAGGCATCAGTTTCTATTGCTCGAAATGGAGAACGTGTACGTACAGTTTGGATAGAATCAGTAGCAACAGCAAGTAATGAAACATTAGCATGGGGTTGGGCAAGTGGTTCAGTTGATTGTCTTTTAAATTGTCGGACAGGTGATCAAATATCAGCAGTTGCTTCTTATCGTCCAAATGAAAATTTTAATTCTCATGTTTATGGTTATTCATATTCAACATTTTCCGGATATATGTTAAATAATGCTTAGAAAATTTTATTGTATTTAAATATAATCATTCAAGAAAGAAACGACGTACAAGATTAAAAAAAAACATTTGTGTGTTTCTAATCCTTTAAATATGGAATTATATTATCAATAAACCATTGATCAGTAAATCGTAAATGATCAGTGTCTGATTGAAGAAATTTTATTCGTGATTGTTGATCCATTATTTTTAAACCTAATAAATCATTGATATATAATGAACTTTCTCGTAATGGAACTATTTTTGATGTATCATTGGCGGCATAAAAACCAAATTGTTCACTTTCATGTGGATATACCATTGTATCACGTAAAAATTCAACTAGAACTAAATTACGAATTTTTAATAGATTTGTTTTATAATCTGCGGTGAATGTACGTTCTTGATTAATATCGGCGAGAAATACGCTTACTTTACGATAGAGAGCTAGTTGATGAGCTAAAAATAATAAATAGATATGAGTTTATTTTATGATAATTATACATACGATCTTGCCAATATTCTGCTTGAACAAGATGATTTTGTATAACGGTTTCATAGACACCGAAACGTAATAATTCACGAACATAATTGCATATTGTTACATTATCTCCAGGACATCTTGGAAATCCAAAAACACCTTGATGTTGACCACCGACAGAAATTAGATTGAGCATTGGTGGATCAGGACAACGTTGAGCAATAGCACGAAGAAATTGCCCACCTTGTGAAAAACTTTTCAAAAAAATTAGAAAAGGGAATTAGTAGAATTTATTATTTTACCCAATAGCATGATAACCATGTGTCAAATTTTTGTCTGCTTTTAATAATTTACAAGCATAATCAATTTGATGATTAACATTCATAAAGAAGCCATTTGCTGTATCTTCTTCGATATTCGAACCAATTCGAATTGAATGAATATAAGGAGATGGTGTTATTTGACGTTCAATCAATTTAATTATTGATCCAAGACTCAAAGGATTACAACAACTATCACCCATGCCATGCCATAAAACAACTGGTGGTGAGCCAGAGATGGTAAATGCATGTGTGAGACAAATAACAATAGCAACAACGAGCAACATTGAAATGACTACCTTTTACTTAAATGTTTATCTACTTTTAAAGATATCTGATATGCAACACAGATGATTCATTGACATAAAGAAAAAATGTAAAATTATATGATAAAATACCTGAAAGTCTCTTTTGAAATATTTGCAAGAAATTTACTATGCATTGTCATATACAGCACATCATGTAATAGTTCTCTGTAAATTGTTTGTCTTACTTTTTTGATATGAATACGAAAATGGTGTGTCAGAAAATAGTTGTTTGTATATGAATATAAATTTTCTAGATCAAACTGAATCATTCATTTATAAATTCTCGAAAGAAAGTTTTTATTCCCATCCAGTTGTACCTTCATTGCCAGTAAACTCGTCATTATTAACAAACAATCTACTTTTAATTTTGTCGAAAACGAAAAGTTTGTAAAAAAATTTAAATGTAGACGTTTTTTCACCTTAGCAAAAGGATCAATCAGCGTTCTCTTCTGTCGAAAGATACTGTTATCAAGAATAACGAAGAGTTTATTGAATTCAATCCACTAATTAGGAGAAATATTTCGAGACAAAACATGTTTATTGTTTTCTTGTTGGTATGATCAACTGGTTGATGTAGACCTTTTGAACAATTTGTTTACAGAATATTTCAAGATAAAGTGATTTAATAGATTAGTACATCGTTGCTGCTCAGTCATATTGAAATTTTTTACTGATATACTTCATGATGCATTTGATACGTAAAATACTTGAAAATTCTGTAGATTTTAAATCTTTTGTTAATCTTGAGATAGTAAATGGCTGATACAGAATTTTATTTTTTCAAATCATTTCAAAACGATGCTTCAGTATCTATAATTGAATATTGGATTAAGCTCCTTTAATAGTTATTACAACTAAACTTGTAGGATCTAGCTGCCTATCAAGATACGTTTTAATTAATTGAATAATCAAAAGTTTAAAAGAACAAGTCCAGTAAATAGTTTTAAATTCTTTAACGTAATTCAGATTAAGACCGTCTGGCTGCATCTGTAATATGATATCTCTATAGTATAAAAATATCGTACGTCTTGACGATGTCTGTTACTTATATAAATATTTCCGTAATCTCTTGGAATGTTTATCGTGATAAATTATATCTGAGATAGTAGAAATTGAAGCAATATTAGTATATGGATTATCTTTCATTAGACTCTTAAAAAGCATTTAGATTCCTTTTTTAGTAATATTGGCTATTGCACGAAAACATTTCGAATATCATCTTTCAAAAACTCTCATTTACTAGCAAAATTTACCCATTAATAAAATTCAATAATATGATGGGAAGAAAACATGTCACTCAACAGAATCTGTATTTGTTCGTTGTATATAAAATGTTTCATTTAGTAATAACAATCAATTTTTATTATACACATAGAAATATAAAGAAACACAAAAAAGTTTAATCACGACGACGTTTTTCTTTTTCACGGCCGCGATCTCGATCTCGATCTCGATCCCGATCTTTTTTATCACGATGTTCATGTCGACTGGAATGTTTCTTTTTATTTTCACGCGCAGGTGAACGTGATCTTGATTTTGATCGACTTCTTGAACGCCTAAATATTATCAAAAGAAAAAGATATTTATAATTAGAAAGAAAACTTCGTTCTTTTTGTCTTACCGTCTCTTCTTCGAACTTTTTTCTCGTGGTGATGGTGATCTTTCCGGTTTATCATAATCTTTCCAATTTTTCTTCGATTTTTCGGATGTTTTTTCTTTCGGTTTCACTTTCTTTTCCTCTTCCTCCTCTGCTTCATCACTTAATTCATTATCATCATCAATATCTTCATCAAGTACAGATTGACGAGGTTCTAGTTGATTATTTTCTTCAAGAACAGTCCGTTTTTGTAAACGAGGTAACTGAACATCTAACACACGTTCTTCGCGTAACAATTCATCAATAAATTCATCCATATGCAAAAGTTCAAATTCTAGGAAAAAATAAATCATCATAAAATCTCTAAAGAAAACAAAAAAAACTCTTACTTTCTTCTCGATTCAAACGTTTCATCTTTCGATAATCGTTATAAAGTGGTTCTAAATATTTATAAATTTCAACTGAAGTACCAACTAATCGCATATAAAATGCACCAAGTGCACGAACATATCTAAATAAAAATAGAAGATGTATATCATCATTCAATCGAATTTTATAATACTTACTTAAATTCTTCATTTTTAATGAATTCTACAACAATATCTTTTTCTGGAACAATTTGTAACATTTTAAGAATTAAACATAGAAATGGTGATGGACGAATATTTCCACCAGAAACACCACCGATATGTTTTAATTCAACTGCTTTATCAACAATTAATTCAGCTAGAAAATAAAAAATATATTTTTTTTTAAATAAAATAAGAATTTACCAGTTAGTGCAAAACAATCTTCTTTCCAATATCGACAATCATATATTCGAGAACGAATAATTTTTTCAATTAAATATTGTGGATTAGTACCTTTGATTGTCGGCGCTTCCTTAACCGTTCGATTAGCCATTGGAAACGAACTGAAATTTTAAGGAAAAAGCGACGAATTATTTCAGAAATTAAGCAAGAAAGAAAGAAAGAAGTTTACGTTGTTTTTTATTAGACAATTCATTTGAACCAATCAGATAATTTTCTTTAGATGGAACCAGAATCATTGTTGATAAATAAAATAAAAAAAGAAAACTTTTAAATTTATCAGAAAAAAACAATATCACAATAATAGTTGGAGGAGAAGGAGGAGAATAACATATTGTTGTTTATTCATGGAAAAATAAATTTTTAATTGGTATGTATTCATAACGTTATTACAATAGAAAAAATACAAATTTAAATTAGTTACAATTATTTAAACATACATTTGAAATCAATAATGCAAGTAAGAGTTTTATATGAATTAAAATTGTTTGTTTTATTTTTAATGAAAAGGATAATATTCTAAAAAATTTGAATGAAAATATTCTTGACATATGTCAATTTTAGTAAATTGATCTGAGATAAAAAGAAACAATTATTTTCATTGAATATATATGTGTGTCTAATCACCTTTGAGCATTTTTATTATTAAATCATAGTATATCGAATAATTCAAAGATTTTTTTTTTGTTTCTTGAAAGACACTTGACAATAATTAGATTTTTACATGAAGAGAAAAGTATCCTGAAAGATATCAAACGTGAAGGATTAATATAATCGAATGTCAATTCTTTTTTTTATCATAGAACATAAAATGTCATTAGTAATGTTTAATTTATGTGTATTTGATCTTTTGTCATGATGTAGATACATTAAGCTCTCTCGATGCCGTCTATTCTATATATATGCACATGAAGACAAAAGGTAGACATTATCGCCAGTGGTCATTGTGAGACACGTGTGAAACAAAAACTATTGATTCTAATTGATTTTTTTTGTCACTATTAACAATAACATTGAACACACATTGTGCTTAAATTTGTGTGTCTACCGTCGTTGTTTCTACTTTTTTTCTTCTTCTTCTTCTCTCTCTCTCTTTTCTCATGGTGCCACATACCATTAATAGTTTTGGGGACCATTGGGATGGGATCGTTTTTCTCTTCTTTTCTCTTAATATAGCATTCAAACAACGACAACGAACTATATTCTTTGTTAATGTTTGATTTCTTTTTTTATTTGTCATTTGTTTTTTTCTTCTTTTTTTTCTAGATTATATATATATATAGTTTTTCGTTGACTACTGAACAAATTCTAGAGAATTAAAAGAAATGATATCTTTCTGTTAGTAATGAATAATCAAGGTAAATAAAAATAAAATAAAATAAAAATTTCCTATAAATTATTTTACATTATTTTAAAAGCAGAAACTTTAGTAAATAGCAATCATCATGGTAAATATATTTACTAAGAATTTTTATTTATAAGAATTCTTTCACTTTTTTCTTTGCTGTTAGATGATGAAAAGAATGAAGAAACAACATCAACAACAAATGTAATTGAAGGAGGTAAATTTAAATATCTTCACCTTGAAAGCATTTACTATATTTCATCTTCGTTTTTCTTTCGATATAAAGATACTTATCCGATCTCAGATAATGAATCAACAATAGATTCAACATCTTTAATCAATATCAATATTATGAAAAATGAAGATCAAAGTAACATGAGTGGTAAGTACAACACGTATATAAGATTACTGTTTAATAGTCAGATTAATTCTTTTTTCTACTCTTCCAACATAATATCATTTTTTTTATTGTTACATAATTAAACAAGAAAAAAAACTTGATTTTGTTATTTTTTGTACGTGAAAGTGTTTTATTCGCGATTAACTAACTCTTGTCTACTTCGAAATGTTCATCTATTTGTCAATACAACGATGTCGTCGACTATCGACGAATAACAAATATAACTTGTTGTCTATCATAACTTACATAGAAAAGAAACTATTATTCAACGATGGTTGTATATATGTTTCATCTCATATATTCCTGTTCGATATTCTATTTAATTCAAGCTAATGTTGAAACATTACATTTTGAAAGTGGTTGTCTTAAAGAATCAAATCTTATACAATTAAATCTTCGTTGTTCACTTTATGAACATATTAAAATTATACGTGTTATATATGGTTATTCAAAACAACGAACAATGCATCAATGTCAATTTAGTATCTATGATTGCATACAAGAAGGTGCAAGTCGTAATATACTATCATGTCATGGTAAACAAACATGTATTATAAATTTAACTAAAAATGAAATTATTACAACAACAGTTACAACAAAAGGTGTACCAAGTTGTTCAGATTTTAATTATGTACAAGTTAATTTCGGTTGTATACCGGATGCAAATGATATTTGTGATAGTTGGAAAGATACAGGAGCTATTATACATTTAACTCATACACGTTCAAGAGATAAACAATATGATGAATGTCAATGTAGAGTACGTTCATCATTATCAAATGGACAAGTTTTATTACAAGCAAAAGAAATCAATAGACAATTTGAAGATAAACATGAAATAAAAAATTCGAATACTGATTGTAAAAAAACGACGTATCTTGAAATTGCTACGGATAGATCGGAACGTAAATGTATGGATAATTTACCATCAAATGGTAATGCATTATTTGGTTCGGGTTCTCATAATTTTACATTAACTTATATACGAAATGATCCATTTTCGGAATTATTTTTTTATTTCGAATTAAAAGCAAGTCCAATAAAAAAAGATCATCATGTACAAATTGTTTGCAATTGGGCAAGACGTACCACAACAACAACAACAATACGTACAACATTACCAATGACATATAAACGAAAATTAACAACACTTAGTTTATTACGTGGAGGACGATTAAGTCGTATTGATTTGATTCGACATCCATTAATATCAGGAGATGAAGATATTAATGATCCATTGATTGATACGGATGACATATCTATTGTTAAAGATATGGATGACGACGATAATACAATTCCATCATCGAAATCAAAAAAAGACAAAAGAAAAAAAACTATAACAACAGACTCAATAGAATCCATACCAACAACAACAATAGATACGAGTTTATCTGAAGATACTTTTGAATGGTCTTCTATTACATCAATGGATAATATTGAATCTTTATCATCATCCGAACAGATATTTTCTTCAAATAATCAATTTATTTTAAGTTCTATTCAACCTTTAATTGAATCTTCAAAAGATAAATCACGACATAAAATGTCAACAACAACAAAGAAACTTCTTATTATGCTTTTTATTATTATTTTTATAATAATTTTTCTTCTAAGTCTTTATTGTCTTAAAGTAAAACAATGCGGTTTTATTCAACACTTAAAAATGAATCTCAATGTTGCTTTCTTATTTTGTTGTGAAGCTAGCAAACTCTTATTTTCTGCATCAAATAGTTCACATTCAATGTCATCTACACCATCAGATAGAATAACACATCATCAATCGTTACCACCATTACCAATTGCAGAATATCAATCAAGTGTGTACTATATGAATGATACAAGAAATAATTGTCATACAACACAAAGTATTTATGAATATGACGGTCATGATGGTGAAAAATCAATTTATAGTGTCTATAGTGATGATAATTTACCAGAAGGTTCTGACTATACGACTAAATATGATCAATATCATGAAGGCGATACTTGTTAAATAAGACGAAGAAGTTGTTGTTTTTTTTGTTTCTTTATTCATTTCTTCTTTTCCTTCCGTCTTCGTTCAAAACGAACCGTTCGTGTCTTGAGACTTGTTTTTATTTCTATAAATACGTGATTATTATCGGCAATAAAATAGAACACTAAATTAATAATTAAAATTTTTTTTTTCTCTTTTTTTAATAGACAGTATGTCTCAAGATTCATTAATTACTAATGAACAAGATAATAATAATAATAATAAACAAATAGAACAACCTTCATCAATAACAACAACAGTTAATTCGAGAATGAATGGTAATTTAAAATTATCAACAAATTGATTGATTTTTTTTTTTGTTTTGCTTTTTGTAGGTAATCGATCTAATAATCTTGATGAACATATTAAATTAGTAAAACAAAAAAAAGAAGAAGCCGAAGTGTTACGCTTACAAAAATTCCAAGAACAGCTGCAGAAGAAAGAACAAAAATGGTAAGTTATTATTCATAATAACAAATCATAGTTTTCTGACACCAGAGATGTCTCAAAATGGATTGATTCCTTAGCAATGAGTCACAGAAAAGAACGAGAAGAAAAAAAAAAACGAGAAAGAGAATGTGTGTGTATGTAAAAAAATGTATTACAAATCATTCATTTTGCGTAGGTTAGAAACGCTACACACACTTGTTGTGCTTATTTTTTCTTTCGTATTGTTGTTGTTGTTGTTGATGTTGCTTTATTATTATTATTTTTTTTGCTCATTCATGAATGATTCTGTATATAATATATTCTCTGATAGCGACGGGTTTACTCATCGATTTGTATGTTTTAGTTGTATATATATATTAATACGAGCTTGACATTTCTTTTTCTTAGACTAAGAAATAGTACGAAAATACTACTGTTTATATCTAACAGGCATGTATAATCAGGCGTTAGAGGAAGAAGAAAAAAACTGATAGAAAAAAAAATAAGAGTGACGATTAACGAAAGCATGTATATTATGTGTGAGATAGAGAGAGAGAGTATTTTCTTTTCTTGTTTTGGGTAGGTAGAGTAGAGTCAGCTGGCAAAGAAAAACAGTGTCGTCTCTCTTTTTTTTTTCAATGATCGATGTCTATTAAATATAGAAAGAAAAAAGAGAATAAGAGAAAACGTTGTATACTGTTGATATGCAAATGGCAATAGGAAAAAAAAGGAACCAAATACATTTGCTTATTGATGAACTCAAAATCCTGATTATTATGTGTTTTTTATCAAGGTCATTATTTGTATATTTATAGGCAGCAACAGCAATTAGAGAAGGTAAAAAAGTGGCTACAATTACGCAATCGTGATACTGATCACCGATCACAAGTTGAAGAAAGACGAAAAAAACGTGAAGAGGAAGCTAAAGTATGTTTTTTTTTGTTCTAATAATACAATAGACAAAATTTTCTTTTTTTTTGTACTCTTTGCGTTTTTTTCAGGCTAAAATTGACGAAATATTACGCCGAGAAAAAGAACGAGAACAAAGAACTAATTCACAAATAACAGGCAATTTAAGGTAAAAAAAATCGATAATTTTTTGATAATAATATGAATCGGATGTATTTTTTTGTAGGGGAAATGCATCGCATAAACCTGATTCTCTTATGAGTTTGTCTACAGATGTATTATTAACTCGACGAGCTATTTCTGCACCACGTACACGATCAAAGCAACAAAGTACTTTTATTTTTTAATAGATAAAAATCTTTGTCAAATATGACTCATTTATTTAATTAGTAATGGCAAATCGACGCAAATCAAATGATTCTCCAATTACGACTTCATCAGAAGAAGCTGCTGATCATTCAGCTAGTACGTTTATCTGATTATTTGTTTTTAGTCTTAGAATTATTTTCATAAAAGAGTTGTACTATTCGTATAGATTTGTGTATAAATATATATAGAATACCTCATTCTATCTTTCTCTCCACTTATAGCTGCGGTCAATTCTCATCAGCTTAATCCAGTTGACGGACATCGATATCATCGATCGCGTCATACACATGATGTAACAATAACAAATGAAGATAATTCAGTGTCAGGTACTACACCTCGTTCAGACGCACATAGTCGAACACGACCGGTGCCAGCATCCTATACATTTTGGTTAAATACCGGTGACAATAATAATAATACTTCAAATGCCGGTTTCATGCGTTCGACATATGCAGCTACTTGTCGATCACGACTTAGTCGGAGTGCTGAACGATGTCCTCGAGCTTGTAGAGGTATTCGCTCTCATTTGCCAGCTTATTGATATAATCTATGTGTGCATATGGGCTTCTCTGTATTGTGTGTGTGTGTGCGTGTGTTTGTTGCTTTGCTTTGGTTTAAAGAATAATTTAATTATATATAGAAAATATTTTCTATGGATGATTAATCAATATTTTTCTTTGTTATCTAGCTCGAGAAGAATTATTAAATAATCCTACAACAACAGCAACAACAACAACTACTACGGGAGTAACAACGACAAATGGTGACCAACAACGTCGAGTACAAAGTGTAAGTCGACAACATTTAAATGAAACTATTCGTCGACTTTCGAAACCCAAAAATGTTGTTATGGCTCAATCAGTTCATATTGGTGCCGTACCAACAAACGGAATATCTTCATCACACTCCAGTCATCAACTTCGTGTATCTAATCCACTTGTTCCTACAAATAATCATTTAACTACATCACGAGCTTCGTCTAGTACTCGTAGAGTAAGTTATCTCCTAACGAATCATTCTATTACGAAATAAATATTCGATATTGAATTTATTTTATAGCATGTACAATCTCGTCCAGCTACCTCTTTATCTCATCATGCTCCTTCTGTTAATGGTTCTCGTACATCATTAACCGATGAATCCACATCTGAACATCAGCCAGTTATTCGACAATCATCACATCGTAGTGGTACTCATTCAAAACCTCTACAATCATCCTCATCAAAACCTCCTACAGCCATATCTACTTCTCGTTCAAAACCACCTGTAAAACGTTCTGCAATGACTAATTCACATTCATCATCGACATTATCATCGATGACAACATCAACTACAAATAAACAAAACATACGTCGTATTAATGGTGCATCTCCATCGAAACAAAAACCTGATTCTGAAACATTATCATCCGAACAAAAATCTGAACTAGATCTATTATCATCTGAATTAGATCTTTTATCATCAGAACAAATATCTGATAATCAAATACTAACAACAGATAATGAAAAAGAAGAAGAAGAAAAATTATCGATGAATGGAGATACTCACGTAAAAGAGGAAGAACTAAATCTTATTGATATTCAATCAACTACTCCTAATCCTCCTCTTCCTTCTATTGAACCAATTAATGTCGATACAGTTATTGAAATAATTAATCCAACAGTAGTAGCTCCCGTATCTAAACGTGAACCACAAACAACCGATGAACAAGAATATCAACGTAAATTAAATCAAAAGATTCGAGAAGCACAACAACGTTTAGAAGTTGAACGTCAACGTGAAGAAGAACGACAACGTCAATTAGAACTAGAAGAATATGAACGTGAACAAGAACAAATTCGACTTGTTGAAGAACAAAGTCGTGCTGAACAAGAACGTTTACAACGTGCAATTGAAGAATGTGAACGTGAAAATGAATTAAAACGTCAAGAAGAACAACGTTTACAACAACAACGTGAAGAATTAGAAAGAAAACAAGCTGAAGAAACTGAACGTCTCAATCGTGAAAGACAAGAAAGAGCTAAAAAAGAAGAAGAAGAACGAAATGAAAGAAAAAAACGTTTAGATTTAATTATGAGACGTACAAGACAAGTTTCACCAAGTCCAAAAGTAAACTATTTTTCTCATAAATTTATTTCAATATGAACTTTCTTTTTTTTTAATTTAGCCTGAAATAAGTATTAGTACAACTAATATTGACGAAACAAATGGTCATGATCAACAACCATCCTCAATACCTCATTCCATTTCTGATAATCGTCTTCCAATTTCATTATCAAATGATAATTTTCTAAATACAAATAATAATGAATCAACTACACCTGAAGCACCCAAGTATGAATAAATTTAATTATTATTAAAAAAATAAAACATTTTAAATTTTAGATTTAAATCTCCATTAATACAAAGTCTTCTTAATAAAGCTCGAAATACAAGATCAACAGATAATCTCACACAATCAACTATGACAACATCACAATTATTGATTGAAGATCCAACAACAACATCAACTAGTCAAACTAATTTATTCGATGATGATGATCAACAAGATTCAGGTATTAATAATACACCTAATGGTCATAGTGATTCATTGAATCTTAATTCTTATCATGAACATTCAATTGAAACAGCAACTAGTTTTCAATGATCAAGTTCGTAAGCTTAATACATATGTATCATTTATTGACCTTTTGTTTTTTTCTTGTTATTATAGATTAGCAATATAACAACAAATAATGTGCAGCAAAAAGTTATACAACTGGCAGAATAAAATCTAGTCCTACATGATTAATACCAATTTGTTTTTTGTTCTTATTTATCTCGCTCAATAATTGCACACAGACTGCAAACAGCTGTTTTTTTATTTCTAATATTAAAACGAAAGGCATATTTTATTCATAGAAGACATTGGAAATAGAATAATGTATCCCGGCATTCTTATAATTCTTATTCTTACATTTGTTTTGCTCATATGGCGTTTGTATGTGTGTGTGTGTGTATGCGCGCTCGCTCGCTCTCTTTGTTGTTTTTCTCCATGCTTGATACCCGTTGTTCTTATTTTTTTTTTTGTTTTCTAAATAAAACTTTGAATACAGAGCGAAATTAATCTACAAGTAAATATTTAACTATTAAATTTATTTCCATAAGTTTATTTTTAATTGCGGACTTTTATTGCATTAATTTTTTTTTCGTCGGTTCTAAGCCGTTTTTAATAATCAATTTGACTTGTATAGACATCTGTCTCTCATATTTTCTGTTACTTATAAATGAGACCATTGAGAGAAGAAGAAGAAATGCTTGTGATGATTCAGCAAAATGGCGTCCTTGACTCATTCATTTTTTTTCAACGAACGAACGAACGAACGAATGAATGAGTGTATTGATTAAATAGAAATATTTTGTATTTTAAACTATTTATAAATCATATATGTACTTATGGCAACAGCTAGACGTCGTCTTTTACCTACTCTCAAAGTAAAAAATGTTCCACCTCCACGTTTACCATCACCCGAAAAAACAATAAAAAAAAATGAAAAAGATTTGGATTCATTAGAACAACGTCTTCTTCATATTCGTCTTCATCTTCTACAAAATACATCTCGAACACAAATGCCAACTGAACCAACACTTGTATTTGATTCATTTCTTTACTTAGGTGGTCTAAAATATCTTAGTAATAAAGTAAGTTTTATTATTTCCCATGATAATTCTTTTAGTTTTTATTTATTAATAATTAGGTTCGTCTTAAACGTCTTAAAATAACTCATATACTATCAGTTGTTTTTATTCCACCAGCTAAAACTCTCATTGCACCAAATATAAAACATTTATTTTTAAAAGCTGATGATAATGTTGCATTTAATATGACACCCTATTTTGAACAAGCATGTCAATTTATTGAAGAAGCACATCAATCGAAAGGTGCTGTACTTGTTCATTGTGTTTGTGGTGTATCTCGTTCAACAACTCTATGTTGTGCTTATCTAATGAAATATCATTCCATGACACTTGAACAAGCTTTAGTACAATTACGTTCACATCGTCATATAATACAACCAAATAATGGTTTTCTCCGACAATTACTTGTCTATGGTGAACGATTGAAAATTGAAGAAATTAATCGTGTTAATACAATGACTGAACAGTTAAAGAATATTTAATTTTGTTTGTTTTATTTTATGTATGAGAATTTGCACGAATTTATTTTAGTTTCACAATTTCTTTTTTTAGATTATTTCTTTTTTTTTGTCAGATAAATTATGGCAACAGCATCACCTAAAAATAATGATGAAAAAAAGAAATCAACTAATCATGGAATTCGATCCGATTTTCTTGGTAAAACTGGTACTGATGAATCACCACTTGATAAAACATTTTACCATATCCTTAATATATCACCAACAGCAAGTGCAACAGAAATCAAACGAGCATATTATTCACTTTCACTTCAATATCATCCAGATCGAACACAAAATCTTGATGATTTTACACGACGAGATTATGCAGAACGATTTAAACTTATTTCTCAAGCTTATTGTAATACAAAATATATATAAAATTTTAAAAATAAAATATTCTTTTTATAGCAATACTTAGTGATCCAGACAAACGAACACTTTATAACAGGTATAGAAGTTCAGAAATTTTTGAAAGATTCTAATGTTTGATTTAGATATGGTAAAGATGAACGTTTTATTTCAAAGGATTCAAGTGAATCATTATTGGAAGATTTTGATCCTGAAGAATTCTTTCGTTTAATGTTTGGTGGTGAAGAATTTATTAATATAATTGGTGATTTTGAAATAGCAAAATCATTTAAATATGCTGTAAGTGAATTAATAAAAGATACTGATCAAACAACTGAACAACAAGAAGAGAAAAAACGTCAGCAATCACTTTATACTGAAGAACGTGCAAAACATCATGAAGAACGTATTAAACAATTATCAACTAATTTAATATCGAAATTATCAATATTTACTGATCAATTTCAATTTGATAATAGTGAAACTTCATATACACAATTATTAAATGAATTTAGTGA